AGTCAGCCAGCAGACTGCACAGTGTTCTAGGACAGTCAGCCAGCAGACTGAAGTTCTAAGCACTAATTTTCAGCCTCACCTGCACACGTGAGCAACCAGTGAAGATTGAAAGGGAAAAAAGAGTCAACCTACCAGGGCTGGAGAGATGGCTCAGAAGTTAAGAATGTGTACTGCTATTACAGAGGACCCAAGTTCAATTCATAGAACCAACCTGGGTGGCTGATAACTACCTGTCACTCCAGCTTCAGAGACATTCAGCACCTCTGGCCTTCATGGGCATCTGAATGCAGGTCCACATAACCCTGCATAGCCACACACATATACACACTATTTTTAAAAATCTAGGGCTGGAGAGATGACTTAGAGGATAAGAGAGCACTGGCTACTCTTCCAAAGGACCCAGGTTCAATTCCCAGCACCTACATGGAGGCTCAGCTATTTGTAATTCCAGGTCCAGGGAATCTGATACCCTTTTCTGGTTCTCAGGGACCCCATGTACATGTGATATATAGATATGCATGCAAACAAATGCACATACACACAAAATAAAGATAAAGGTTAAACAAATTTTAGAAAATTTAAAACCAAAAAGACCCCATTAAACTTGGGGCTGGTAAAATGACTCATTGGATGAAGTACCTGGTGCATCTGTGTGAGGACCCTAGTCTGTAGATCCAGCATAAAAGCCCCCTAAAAACCCGGCATGGTAACTTGCCTGTAACCCCAGCCCTCTCAGGAGGCAACAACAGGGGGTCCCCAGGGAAAGATAGCCAGCTAAACTAGCTGGATTGGTGAGCTGTGAGAGACTCTACCTCAATGTATAAGATGGAGAATGACTGATGGAAGACACCTGATGCCAACCTCTGTCTGCCCTTCATACACAACCCTCCTCCCCAACTCGCAAGACCCCAAATAAAACCCTAAATCACGTGAGCAACATGGAAGAGCTGTTGCTGATATTCTGAGCTTGAGGGAAGTGCAGTATTTTGCATGTTTGAGATGGAGTCTCTTTGCTGATGGAACTACTAGATTAAATATTTCGTACAGCAGTATTTTCATACCTGGTACAGTTGCTTTTCCTTGGGAGAGATCACCTGTCAGTAGATGTCACTGTGCTAGGGAAATCCCATGATGCTTCTCTGCTCTTCATCTGCTCAGTTACTGACCTTCCACACATCAGCCAACACTCTCAGCCTGTGTGCTGTCCGCTTTGATTCTGCTCTCCAGGACTGCTGGGGTTGCACTCTGATGGGTGACTGAACACAGGGGCTTTTTTCTAGGCACCAAGCCACATGTTTTGTCTTTTTTTTGTCCCAAAGTCCCCATCTAAACTCTCTCTGCTTTGTTACTCCCTTCAGAGATTAAGCTGTTGCCTTAGCCCCCTCGGTCTGAAATCAAGGGAGGCGGGACTTCCGCACCTTTCCTTGCAGACACGGTGGAGCACTGTAGAGTTCAGAAGCCGCTCTGCTCTGCAGTGTATGCATCTGAGCTTAAACCTTGTGCCTGAAGAACCCACTGTCACAGGGATGCCAGGAGAGTCGCCTTCGCTCTTGACACCGTGCATGGCGGTCTCCAACTTATCTAACGGGGCTCCTGGATGCTTGCTGTGGCAATTTACTTAGAACATGAACTCCTTATGGAGGAGTCCTGCCAACCTTGCTCAGCATATGGCTGAGAAGACGCTACACACAGGCAGATGATGTTAAGATTTTGATGGTACCTTGTCCTGGTTGTTATTGTTATTATTATTATTATTATCATCATCATCATTATTATTATTTTGTCAGTTTGATACACGTTAACATCATTTGGGAAAGGGAACTTCAGTGGAGAAAATGCCCCCATAAGACTCCTGTGAGCAAACCCACATATATTCATTTTCTTGATTAAAGACTGGTGGAGGAGGACCCAGCTCACTGTGGGTGGGGCTACCCCTGGACAGGTGGTCCTGGACAGTATAAGAAAGCAAGTCATGG